AATCTCACTTAACAGCAGTTAAGCGAATTTTCAAGTATCTGAAAGGTACTACTAATCTGGATTTGTTTCATAGAAAATCTAATGAATACAGCTTAATAGGATACTGTGATGCTGACTTTGCTAGGGACAGAGTAGAGCGTAAAAGCACTTCTGGAAGCTTCCAGTTTATGGGAGACAATCTGATCTCATGGATCAGCAAGAGACAGTCCACAATAGCATTGTCAACAGCAAAAGCTGAATACATATCAGCGGCTGGATGTAGCACACAAATGCTCTGGATGAAAAGTCAACTTGAAGACTTCGACATTTTTGAGAGTAACATTCCTATCTTCTGTGATAACACTTCTGCCACATGTCTCTCTAGAAATCCCACTTTTCATTCTAGGGCTAAGCATATAGAAATAAAACATCACTTTATTAGGGATTATATTCAGAAAGGAAATCTTACTTTGAAATTTATTGACACAGACCATCAATGGGCTGATGTATTTACTAAACCCCTTTCTGAAGATAGATTCAATTTCATTCTGAAACATCTTAGCATGAAATTGTGTCCAGAATAAAATGTTTTATTTGCATATCCTAACCCTCATAACTTTATTGTTTTCTGTGAACATCTGATCAACTCGTCTTCAGAAGTTAGAAGTACAGTTGCCTCAGAATCTATCTATGAAGATCTGAACGTTTCACTTCAAGGATAAAGGCGTGAAGTTCACACCATCAAACATCTGTCATCCTCTCACAAGCTACCTTCTAAGGCTAAACATGCGTTCAAATTCTCAAGGGTCCAAGGCTCTGATTGGATGCATTGAGACACTTGTCATTGGTAACTGTTCAATATCTCTCTAAATCCCCTAATTTCAGGTTTCATTAATGCATATAATCATTACTTACTTTCTTTCTTACTGATTACGTTTTCTAAAAACCTATATAAACTCAATTTACTATTTCTCTCATTCACGTTTTACCATCCTCAATATTCACTCTTATTCTAGTTTCTTTTTCAAAAACCTTTTATGTCAATTTTCTTCAAAGAATCTGTGTGAACAATGGCATCATCATCAAGTCTCAAGAATCTCAACAGTGCTCCTGAATATTCATCTACTGAACAGTATGAAGAGCCCATTAGAACGCTACTCACTCTGGTTGACAACCTTGAAGTTCTCTGTGAATTGATCGTTGATTTTGAAAGCTTACAAGAAAATGGGTTTAATTTGTATGAAGATGTAACTGCACATGGATAGAACAAATACTTTGATCATCTGTTGGGTCCAATTTTTCCCATTCTTGTTAAAGAGTTCTGGATTCATGCTACCTGATCCAACCACCAGGTCACATCATATGTTATGGGGAAGAAGATAGTGATTACAGAAGATTTGATTGGGAAACTCATTGGATACAATGGAGGTGGAGTCAGATGCATTGATATGGCTGATAAATGCTCTGACCTAAAATCTATTGCTAGGGAAATCTTCACTTCTGGACAGCCATTCAGTAAGATCAGAGACTTGAAGGACCATTACAGAATCTGGGCCAGAATAATTCTGGGATGTATCAATCACAGGAAGCCTACAAGCTCCCATGATCACATCAATATTGATCACCAGTTTCTGATTTACTTCATTGAAAAGAAGACCAAGATAAACCTTCCACATTTGCTCTTCAACCATCTCAGAACAAGTGTGAAAGAGACAAGAGAAGAAGAAAGAACTAAGAGGGATTGGATTCCTCTAGGAAGATTGATTTCAGATATTCTAACAGAAAACAGGCTGATAGAACATCTGACAGAGGCTCAAGAAATCAGTACTCTGGAAGAAACTGCTAGGAAACCTTTAAATGCCAAGAATCTGAAGAAAATGAAGATTATTGAGAACATTAAGAAGGAACCAACAATTGCTTCTCATGAGGTCATCACTTCTAAGAGAATCCCTCTGAAGGATTTTCCACTATTCTCTGAGATAGATGCCTCTCCAGAGATCATAGTCAGATACCTTGAAGCTTGCAAGGCTGATGGGACTATTCCATAAATCAACATCCAAGATCTGCACAAGCCAGCTCCAGAGGTTGTGCTAAAGAAATCCAAAAAGAGGAAGGCAGCAGGAGAAGGATCCTCTCTGAGGACACCCAAGGCTGCGAAAAATAAAGGTAACCCATATTTTGTTTTTGTTGTAGAATCAATAGTTATTCCAACATCTGAAATCATTCCCCCTCAACCAACAGAAAGTCCTTCACCCCAAAAATTTGAGGATTTTGACATAGAGTTTGACCCATCTGTAACTCTTAGAAATTTCTTGAATGAACCTCACTCCCCCAATCCAAATCCAAATCCAGAACAACATTAACCAGAACTTGCTAGAGTTCTATCTGATATTGAACTGTTTGATCAAGACTTTTCCTCACCACTCCCAGAAAATCCAAACACTCAACCTCAACAACCAGAAAATCCACAACCACACTCTCCTCAACCAGAACATCAAAACCTCAACTCACCCCAACCAGAAAATGAAAACCCTCTCACTCCTCAATCTGAAAACCCATCTTCTGAAATACCTGAACCAGAAATTCAACATGCTACCGCAAACCAATTAGAAGACTCCCTTTCCGACTCTGATACCACTACCCCAATTCTTGGGATCACAGAACCTCTTACGGTTCGTTTACCTATCAATATTCATGATATTCTAGACATCCCTTCACCATATGAATCTACACCACCAAACACCCCCTCACTCACCAATCATGATTTCTGACTCTTCCACTCCCTCACTTATCAAGAGTCCAGCTGACCACCTCAGACTTGTCATTGATCCACAAGTGCTGGACCAACTAGCTTCCACCTTAAACAAAATTGCCACTCCCAAACCTAAACCAACCTCAACCAAATAAGATGTTGGTACAAATCTGTTGATTTTTGAAACAGAAATATAGGAATGGATTACTTCTTTGAAGCAAGCAAGTCAAGAGATTTCTAATCCTGCTGCTTCTGATTCTCTATGGGAAAGATTCAGAAAATGGCTCAACTCTGAAACCCAGAAGCTGAAATAATTGAGCTATGAAAGGGCTCACCAGAACTTCAATGATCAGATGAAAGCCTTCCAAGATCAAGTTCTAAGACAATGGTACAAGAAAGAAATTCTTCCGCTGGATAATGCTCCCTGGAAAGAGCATCAACCTTCAGAAGTCACTGAACCAGATTCTGATAGTCACCCTCTGACTACTGCTCTAGAAAAAGTGATTGTAACAGAAGAAGTTATTCAATCAGAAGAGGCTGCAGAGTGTTCAGAACGACATGCAACCCCTGAAGATACACCAGCTTCGTCTATAGTCATGCAAACTCTGGAAGAGTTGAAGAAGGAGAATGCCTTAATCCATGCCGGACTGGATAAGCAAGAGGACAAAAAAAAAGAGATCAAGGATATATTGGATAAACAAGAAGATACAACAAAAGAAATCAAAGACATTCTAGGAAAACAGGAAAAATCAAGCACTCATATTAAGAGCTTATTGGAAGCGTTGTTCACACGTCTTCCCCCTCCTTCTTAGATTTTCTTTAAATGTTTATCTGTATTTTTATTTTTCATCTTATCCTCCTTATTTCTGAATATTGTCATTGCATTCTATTTTCAATATAAATCATCTTTTTGACTCTGATTATATTGCTTTTTGATACCTGACAAAAAGGGGGAGAAAGTAAGATATTTTCAATAACAGTTTACCGGGACAAAGTCTCAAACATTTTGAATATCTTAACCTCTATGTTTTTGTGAAAAGCTTGAACGGGAACATATTCTGATAAGGACAGAAGGAGATGCCTCAAAAGCTCTGACGAGAAGGAACTTCAGGGAAGTAACTCATCTCTATCTGAGTAATCAACTCAGGCGGAGAATCTCTTAAAGCTTTTTGTTCTATATTTTTCATTGAAAATCTTAGTTTTTGTCATCATCAAAAAGGGGGGAGATTGTTAGAACATAGTTTGATTCTACAACTCTTAATTAGAGTTTTGATGATAACAAACACAAAGAACAAATATGCACTCTAAATTTGTGTTATTTTGTATGCAGAAGTTCTGACTGAATCAGCATCAGAAATTAAGCTACAGAAGCTTTCAAGCTGACATAATTAGAATTTACGCTGAAGAATGATGATCAGAATCTACACTTAAGTGAAGAATACTCTGATTCTGAACATAATTTTAATATACCATCAGATCCTCACATCTCTGAGTCATCAATGTTCTGAAGCAATTGCAGCATGCAAGATTCTAAGTTCTGAAGCGTTACTTTTCAATCAAGACAACATCATATGCAACGACTTCATTCAGACAAGAATCTTCTCAATATGGTAACAGAATTGAATGTCCATTATCACGCTTTATGTTGGAAAATATTTCCATGCCTATATAAACAAGCTTAGAGGACAAATCTTTTACGATTTTTACAACTACTGCAATATACCTCTCAAAGCTGCAATCTTACATATTCATATATACGCTCAAAATTGTGTAAAATATCACAGTTGTGATACAGTTTTTGTAAGGGAAAACAACAATACACAATATATTATTTCATTGTGATTAAGCTAGTTTTCCTTGAGATAAATCGGGTTGTGGTTGTACTCAAGAAGACTTTGGCAGTTGTCAAAGTTATGTTGTAATCGGTTTTTGATTAGTGAATTAAGTCCTTGTTGGAGAGAGGCGAAATCACCTTGGCGGGTGGACTGGAGTAGTTTGAGATCAAACGAACCAGGATAAAAATATCGTGTCTACTACGCTTTTGATTTTAAGTTTCAATTCAACCCCCCCTTCTTGTGTTTTTCACTTCTTCAAAATAGGCTTTAGTCGTTACCTCGAAAGAAGTGATCTTGATAAATCACGTAAATAAAGTCATTAGAAATACATCGCAAAGACATCATAATGATGATTGATATGAAGTGTTTGCAGAGACTAGAAACAACTGGATAAAAGCAAAGAAAGAATCCTTTAACCTCAAGAGTGGAGAAAAATGGAAAAGTTAGCCTTCAACCCCTTATACATTCCCGATACAACTGTCGCACGATCAACATCGTCAAATAACACCAAAAGGAACAACCTTGCCACCAATGCTCATCATCTCGCCTTGATCAACTCAAACATCAAGTACGCTAGAAAAAGGGCCATCATCATTGTTTGAACTGGAACCATGCATTAGGTTTATCCCACAAAGCGTGGCAGAGCATTCAATGTGCATGTTTCCAATGTGACCGACTTCCCCTCAAAGCCTTTCCATTTCCCCGATAGACGGTAAAGGGTAGCCCAAATCATACAACACTTGCTTCAACAAGCAAGGCTCTTGGGCACATGCCCAATCATAAGGCCCAATATGCAAGGAGCACACGACATGAAGGAACATATGAGACTTCAAACAAGCGCAAAGCATGCGATCTCGACATCTGATGTATATCCCACCGCCAGATGCAATCGAATGATGATCCATACAATACTAAACGAGAGTGGTTTAACCACTCATCCTATGTAAGCTCCACACATGACAATTCCAATTATCTCTTGTGAAGTCAAGCTCTTCAAATGATCTACATATGTTTTGATGACGACAAAATTCTAAATAGCTTGAAGACAAAAATATTTCAAAGCAAAATATCTAAGTCAAGCTCAAGCTCATGATTTCAACTTTTACATAGGTATATGAAAATCCAAACTTTTATAATCTTAGTGCTCAAAAATATTTTTAATCATGCATATAAAGATTCTGGTGAAAAAATGAGAAAAATTAAAGTGCTATATCTTTAAAATAATATTTTTTAAATTTTTGATCTAGTGCAATCGATTGCACCTTTTCCTAAATCAATTGTACTCTTAGAAAAACAAGAAGAAAATGATTTTGTAGTTAATGCAATAGATTGCGTCCATATGACAATCGATTGTCATAGTTAAATTTTTTAAATTTTTACAACGTTAAAATGATACAATCGATTGTCATAGTTAAAATTTTCAAATTTTTACAACGTTAAAATGATACAATCGATTGTATCATTACTGCAATCGATTGCATGCTCCCAGATTTTGAAAAAACTGTATTTTCCTGCACCTTTTGCGAAACATCTCTTCATGGAAACACTTGTATCTTTTCACTTTCAATTATTCATAATCTCTCCAACCTTTGCCATGATTTTTGAAAAGGTATTACTTCACTATAAATTATTTCTGATTTTTCAAAATCAAACAACCTGTTTCAAATTTAGAAAAACTCTCTACAAAACTTTAACAAGAATCTTTCTATATTCAGATTTGTGAACATAATTTTCATTGCATATTGAAAGCTTTCTTGAGCACAAAAGAGAGTAATTGTTTCTGATTTTCATATCTGATAGAGAAGATCAATCAAGTGATTGATTCATTATTCACCTTCATCCAAACTCTTTTAAAAATCAAATACACTTATATATATATTTGCTATCCAGGATTGTTGGAAGCAAGTTGTGCATTGAAGAGGATTGTTCTTCTTGCACTTAGTGGTTTAGAACTTAAAGGTTTTAAGAGCCTTTGATCTCCCTATATGTTAGATAGTAAGCATCACTATTGATGTGAATAGGCTGTACAATCATTCTAACTATAGTGAAATCTCTTTCATGTTGAAAGGCGGTTGAAGTACTCTCGGATTGTGAGGGGAATCAGGGTATATTCTTGTGTCATTTACTTTCCGCATTTTTATCGCTTTCATCACTTCACCAAAAATCAGAAAAGAAAGATCAAAGATTCATAAAACCGAAAATAATTTTAAAAATTCCTAATTCACCCCCCCCCCCCCCCCCCTAGGCTATACAATCATTCTAACTATAGTGAAATCTCTTTCATGTTGAAAGGGGGCTGAAGTACTCTCGAATTGTGAGGGGAATCGGAATATATTCTTGTGTCATTTACTTTCCGCATTTTTATCGCTTTCATCACTTCATCAAAAATCAGAAAAGAAAGATCAAAGATTTATAAAACAAAAAATAATTTTAAAAGTTCCTAATTCACCCCCCCCCCCCCCCCCCCCCCCCCCCAAGGCGTTCTCTAAACTTACATCTCTTCCACTTTAATTTTGAGTTCCTTGATGAAAATTTCATTTACTTGAACGTTATAGTGTCAATCTTGCAGATCTACCCTACTTCATTATATCAGAAGCACTCGTTACAATACCACAAGATCTCTTTACAACTTTGTTTTCTATTTTGGTTCCCTAAGTATAATCTATTTTAAAGTTTAGTTTCAATTAATCTATTCAGTATTTTTCAAATTTTTACAAGTAAATAAATACATTTATCATATTTATTTATTTTAATTTCTTTTTCAAACGATAATCCAAGGCAATTTATATTATATTTTTATCAAAAAAACATGCATGATAATTCGAAAGAAAATCTATGATCAACATCATGAAACAAAATTCCTTATTGTCGACAAAAATGCTGCATTCACGTAACCATAGCATATTTAAATGCTGAATGTTGATCGAATGGTATAAAATAAACAATTTTAATTTTATATTATAATTTTAAAAAAGTCTCTTTTAAATCATAACCGTCCGATTTCAATTAAACGACTGTCAAAATTTGAATGCGTGAATGCAGGAAATTAAAATGCAATGAATCTCAATCCCAACCATATAGATTTTTTTAACCAATGTTTATAAAAAGAGATGAAGAAAGCCGTAATCCAACCTTTCTTTTTCTTGAAAAATCAAAAGAATCTCAAGTAACAACACCACTTTTAGTGCAATAATAACCTAACCAATGTAGTAAGTAGTCTCCATTTTGCATACAAAAAAAATGAAAACAAAGGTGATGCAAATTAAAAACGTAACAGTATAAAATTTTGGATTATACGATGGACATTAACGAGTCTTAATAATGCTACACACTACGATCTATCTTATCATTATTTCCATTTTTTTGCTCTTCAAACAAAACACATGTCATGCTCATGCACCCCCCATCTCTCTTTCCGTACACTCCACCGGTCCCCGCCACACCCCTCCCATCCACATTCTCCACACTGCACCGTGTCGTTTCAATTCATCTCAGTTTCTTGTTTCTCTATAATAACTCATTTCAAACTACACCCGCTTTTTTGTTTTTCAACCCACAAACAAACTTTTCTCTTTTGTGAAAATAAATAATACTCTTTCAACATTGTGAGTGAAATTTGGTATTGACTTTACTTTCATTGATAGCTGCTTCTGATTCAATATAGCAACCTTTCCTTCTCAAGGTATGCATGCTATAACCCTATATCATAACCATATTGTTTTTATTTTTATTTATTCATTCTTTACTTTATGCACATTGCATTAACCATCACTTTACGAATATTGAATTTTTTTTATTTATTTTGTTAGTTAATTCAGTTCGATGACAGTTGTTCAGAGACATCATGTGTTACTTATTCATCTTTACATGATACGTGACTTAAATTTTTTTTTTTTAAAAGTAGATGCTAGACTATAAACAATGCTAGAGCTATGGAAACCTAACTAAAAAATGAGTATCACAAATCCCAAGAAATCACTAATATCAATCGATCATCTGATCTTAAATCAACCATCGAGATTCATTAAACCTTTGGAATTAATTTGTTCGTAAAGACTTGAGACTTGAGAGTGCGTTTCTCTCAAAACCATATAGGTTTGAATCTAGGTAGGTATTAATAATTTATGTGTTAAGTTAGTCTATTCAGTGCAAAACTCTGATTTTAAATAGGCCAGCTTTCTGGTGGATGGTGGGATTGATCCTCTTATATTAGTTTGTCGTCTGTCACAAACCCAATAATCGAGATTGATTAATTGAGGGATTTGAATTTGAAAAAATGAAAAATGGTTGGGAGTGAGTAGTAAGAAGGAGTAATAGAATGTAGGTTAGGTGTAATAAGGGAAGGGCTATGAGGGTCCAAAGTGGGCACCTATGACCACCTAACAGACCATAGAGTAAAGACTTATCGCTTTCATTTACCTTAACCTATTGAATATACACACATTCATATCTCAACTTTAGCTCTAGTTATGTTGTGTCTACTATACTGTTTCATTAGTAATCAATGCTTCTCATCAAAACAACATTACTTCTTCCTAACTAGTAGTAGTAGTAGAAGTAGTAGAGTAAGTGGTAAATTATCAATTAATGCTGCTTTTATTTCTTGCCCTTTTTATTCCTACAAAACAGCACTAGCTAGCTTCAAATTTAGAGTGTTTTCTTCTAATCATGATTGATATTGATATTAGTAAATAATTAATTTATTGATAGTGCTAATATATACTCTCTCTTATTTCTGATATTGTTATTACTTTCTAATCATTCAGCTTTTTTCTCTTGATTCAGAATTACTAAAGTTTCTCTCTAGAAAAGGAAAAGGTTGAGCTTTGCAATTCAATCTCAAAATTCAGATCTTGAGCCTTCACAAGCATTTCAAAGTCTAAGCTGGTTTGGTTTCTCAAACACTTGTTGAAGAGCTTTGCTTTGAATTTTGACTTTGTTTGACTTGACAGTGACTTATATAGTCTCCAATTTTGAGTTGAAAAGCATAGTATTAGTTTATTGTTTGTATTTGATTTTGATTTTTATGATTATTCTATAATAGTGTATAATGTATTGGGGTTGGTGGAGTTAATTAGTATTCTTTCAGTGTTGTGAGGTTTGAAGATTTGAACATGCTAATAAACAATTGTCATTGGTTGTTAGTTGACTCCTTTTTCATGCTAAGTTCATGGTTTTAACTTGTAGCTTTTAATATTATACTTGATTTTGCATAATTGGTGAGAGGAATATTCGGTCTTTTGATATGGAATTCACATTTTCAAGGTGTTGAATTGAAGATTGGTTAAAAGTTAGAAAGTGGGATTTTCGTGTGGAAGGTTTGTCTTTACTCTAAAGTGTAAAAGATATGCTGAGCTCTGATGATGATGATGGAGATATTGATGTATTCTATGACTCATTGGATAGTTTGTCAGGTCAAGAATCTGTTATAGCCGAAGAAGAGTTTGGTTTCGAAAGGCGTTATGATGAAATTTGGGTGAATGAGCCTGTTAGTGTGAAAGAAAGAAGGGAACTTTTTCTGCAGGGTATGGATTTAGCTTATAGTTCTTCCAAGATTTTGTCACGAGAAAAAATCATGAGGTTTAATGAGAGGGTCATGAGGTGCAGTGGAGCGGTCTCAAATGCGTGCGTTTTCCCTTCTGATAAAGTATCCGAGAAGACAGTTTTCTCCGGATGGAATGCGACTTCTGAGGCAGAAGTCTTGTTGGAAGGACTTAAAGGGCGTCGCGAGGATGAAGTGGATGCAACTTCTACAGCTCCTGAGCACGGACAAAGAGAAGATGAAGCACAAGAAGAATTTCGGGATTTTGTAAAGAGTAAAACTAGTAGAAATAACTGGTGGAAGCGCATTGTAAATGTCGAAAAAGGCGACGAAGGAAAAGTTAGATCAAAATTTAGTACAGGGATGAATAAAGCAAGTAGAATAAAGGTAAGACGGAATAAAAAGAGGTGGCTTGAGTTCAGTGAGGTATACGTTGGTCAAGAGATTAAAGCTCACAAAGGATTGGTATGGAGTATGAAATTCAGTCCTAATGGTGAGTATTTAGCTAGTGGAGGTGAAGATGGTGTCGTGCGCATATGGCGCGTTATGTCACGTGACAAAAGCCGGCCCTTCATTTTCCTTCCAAATGATATTTTTCAAATTGAGGAATCACCACTGCACGAATTGTTTGGTCATTCCAGTGATATCTTGGATTTGGCTTGGTCTAATTCAGATGTGAGTTTTACTTGCAGAACCAAAGTTGCAATGTGTTATGTTCATTCTGCTTGCAAATCTAATAAAAATTACATGTTGCAGATTCTTCTCTCGTCCTCTATGGATAAAACTGTCCGCGCATGGAAAATTGGCTGTGATCAATGTTTACGTGTTTTCCCTCACAAAGACTTTGGTAAGCATCAGAGAATCACACACTTTGATCTGTATTTTCCACAACCATGTTTGGTTATTAGTTATAAAATTTAGACAAAATGCATTTGTTCATATTTATAGTTTTAAACATTGCGATGGGCTCAGGCCTTAAGCATGATTGTAACTGCGTCTCTTCTTTGATTGGATACAGTGACGTGCATTCAATTCAACCCTGTTGATGAAAATTACTTCATCAGCGGATCAATAGATGGTAAAGTTCGAATATGGGGGATATGCGAAGAGCGAGTTATTGACTGGGCAGATATACGAGATGTCATAAGTGCTATAAGTTACCAACAAGATGGGAAAGTATGCTATGGAAACTTGATTATGTTCACGATTTTCTGCATCTTAATGCCTATTTTACTTGGGCAAAGGAAACAAACTTATGGCCATGAGATTGATGAATTCATTTTATATGTGTAGGGATTTGTAGTTGGTTCTGTTACAGGTACTTGCCGATTTTATGCTGCTTCAGGTATATGCATGTGGATCACCGATTCTTACATTCATGAGCAATTGAGCACTCTTAACGGAAGATAAATTAGTTCCTTAATCAGATTTCTAATGATTTAGGAAAATATTTCAAGCTTGAGGCTCAGGTAGATATCTGTGGAAAGAAGAAAGCATCAGGCAACAGGATTACAGGCATTCAGGTTAGAATCTAGAAGTTCTTTACTATTAAAACACTTTAGTATTTCATGTATTGTCATTCATACCAATGCTTGTCTGCAGTTCTTCCAAAACAACTGTCAGAGAATTATGATCACGTCAGAGGATTCGAAAATTCGCATATTTGATAGAACTGAGATTGTTCAGAAATACAAAGGTACCGCAGCACTTATCGGTCACTACAGTCCTGATCAAAAACCTTAATGTTGCGGGCACAATCATGGACCACAAACTAAAACCTCGTTAAGAACTGTGTTTAAGCATTTTACGTGCATTGTATGACACAACATCTGATCTTTGACAGAATGTGTAATATGCACTGACACATCGGTAAATTTTAAATAGTATGCATATTGCTTAATGTCTGGTTTGCATGAAAAACTCTTAAGTCTGTTGATTTTACTACTTCCATCAGGCCTTCCGTGGTCGGGAAGTCAGATGTCTGGTTCATTTACATCAAGTGGGAAACATATAATTTCGGTTGGAGAAGACTCGCGTGTTTATATTTGGAACTTCAATGACTTTGAAAGCGCTTCTTTGAAAAAAAAGAAATCCCAGCATTCTTGTGAATATTTTTCCTTCAAGGGTGTAACGGTTGCAATACCTTGGTGTGGCATGAAAGCAGAAGATAGAAATAACGTTTCGCGTTGTGTTTCAGAAACAAAAAGCAAGCTAGAGTTTGGTTCCGAGGTTAGAGATACAGACCGTTTTTCTCTCGGTAACTGGTTCTTCATAGATGGTACATGCCGAGGTTCTATGACATGGCCTGAGGAGAAACTTCCAACATGGGACGAATATGATCATTGGAAGTTATATAAAAAAGATAGTAGCCATGGCAAGAATAAATCAGAAACATGGGGACTCACTATAGTGGCAGCTGGCAGTGATGGAACTATCAAGACATTCCACAACTTTAGTTTGCCTGTTAGGCTCTAGGACAATGCCATGTTGATTGTTTTCCATTTTTGAGGAGAGATTCAGGGAAAGGTGGATTTGAAACTTGTGGTATTCTCTGCTTACAAGTAAAATCATTGTCAAATGCATGTTGGATGCCATGTTCTTGACATGTTCTAGGATTTGTATATTTACACTTTAGGCATGCCTTTAATATAATATGATTCTGGTGGTGGATTCAGGCCAGAGGCCATGCAAAAGAATCCTATTTTTCTTTATACAATAGGTACATAATGAAAAGTGCTATTGAAGTTTTGGTTACATATGTTATTCTATTATTAGTTTATGTACTTTTGTTACAGCATGGCTAAAATACTGTTATGGCATAGATCTAAGTTGATTAAGACACTTCTCCAACAAAGAAAAGTAAGTGTAAGAGGAGAGATATAAAGATAAATAAAATGTTATATAGGGATAAATAAAAAATTTGTTTTAGATGATCCAGTTTTGAAGAGAGACATAGAAGGAGAGATGAATATAATTCTTCAAATTATATTATAGTTTATTTAATACTTCTAAAAACAGAAAAGGTGATGTCAATAATTGTTGTAACGGAGGTGCCAAATTCATAGAAGTTTTTTACCTACTTTTGGTTCTTTTGAAAATCTCCCGATGTCTCCTCGACGCTCACTCCAATATACTAACAAAAAGTTGATGTCGATAGAGGTAGCAGCGGAGGTGCTTAACTCATAGAAGTCCTCAACTTACTTTGGACTCTTCGAAAATCTTCCAATGTCTCTCTCATGTTCACTCCTACAGAATCAATAAATTCAATCTCGTGTCTTCAAATGCAAATTTTGGCTGACAAAGCTTAAACACCATATAATGGTAGCACAAAGAGAATATGAAATGCCAACTACCGTAAGGTATAACATATAAAGAATGAAAAATGTTAAACTACCACACACAGAATAAAAGATGGTTATCTACATCTAAATGATTGAGTTGTGTGAGAAACTTCAACAAATATATGTGTACCGGAATAATTTCGGTAGTCCAAAGGGAAACAAGACAATTATTATATGATGAAAATAATACAGTTTAGTTTATTATTAAACAGTTAGTTTTAGTTTGTTATAGTTTGTTACAATTCTGTTTAGTTTGTTACTAAACAGTTTGTTACTTTAACAGTATAAATAATGCTGTTTTGTACATTCCAAATCATAATGAAAACTATGAGTTTATTCCAAAATTAACATGGTATCAGAGCGAATTCTCTTTTCCGCGCCTTTCTTCTTCGCGCCTTCTTCTTCTTCTTCTTCTTCTTCTTCCCTTGCTGTTTCAGCGTTTACCCTCTTCTTCTCTTGCTGTTTCAGCGTTTGTTATGGCGCTCCCTTACTCTGATTTTGCTACAGATCCTTCCAATCCTTACTACATGCACCCTAATGAAAATCCCTCTCTTGTTCTTGTTCAACCTGTTCTTGATACCAAGAACTACCAGATCTGGTCTAGATCAATGAAAGTAGCTCTTATCTCCAAGAACAAGATCAAATTCGTTGATGGCACTCTTTCTCCTCCCCTACCTCTGATTCTTTATACGAACCTTGGCTGCGATGCAACAATCTCGTCCTCTCATGGCTTCAACGCTCGATTTCTGAGGAAATTGCCAAATCTCTTATATGGTATGATCGTGCTTCTCTTGTATGGAAAAGTTTGGAAAATCGTTTTTCTCAGGGAGATATTTTTCGAATTGCTGACATTCAAGAAAGTGTTGCTCGTCTTCAACAAGGAACTCTTGATGTCTCTTCGTTCTTCACAAAATTGATGACGCTTTGGGAAGAAATTGAGAACTTCCGGCCAATTCGTGATTGTACTTGCGCTATACCGTGCTCCTGTGGTGCTGCTTAAGACTTACGCAAATTCAAAGAACAAGATAAAGTTATCAAGTTCTTGAAGGGCCTTGGTGACCAATACGCTAATGTTCGATCCCAAATTATACTGATGAAACCACTACCAACTCTTGACAATGTGTTTAATCTGGTTCTTCAACAAGAACGTCAATTCGACCTTCTTTCACCTTCTGCTTCTTCGATTGAGTCTCAATCACTTGTGAATCATCTTTCTCAAGCACCTTCTCGTTCTTCTCACAACACTGGTCGTGGTGGTGGCCGTGGTGGCCGTGGAAACAGACTCTGTACCCATTGCAACCGCACCAATCACACCATTGAGACTTGTTTCTTGAAACATGGCTATCCCCCTGGATTTCAACAACGCAAGCCTACTACATCTGTGGGGAATTCTGCTGATTCTACACTGAATTTGATTCAAGATGCTGCATCCACATCAAATACCAGTCCAAGTGCTTTGTCTATAATTCAAGAACAATACACTTAGATTCTGCAACTTCTCCAACAATCTAATTTGCAATCTCCTTCACTTCCCTCAATTAATTTAGTGTATACTGCTAATTCTGTGTCCAATACCTCTGGTAAGAATTCCTCTGGTAAGAATTCCTCTAATCTTCCTTGTCATAACTGGTGGATCATTGACACAGGTGCCACTGATCACATCACCCATACCTTTGACAGTTTTGTTTCCACATACCATATTGCACCTAAATCTATGACAATGCCTAATGGTGACTCTGTCACTACAACTACTGCTGGTTCAGTTTTACTATGTGGTTCACTTGTCCTTCACAATGTTTATTACTTTCCTTCATTTCATGTCAATATTATTTCAGTCACCACTCTTTTTGACTCCACTTTATATGATGTGAAATTTTCTCCTAATTGCTGTCAAATTATGCAGTTGCCCCAATCCAAGATGACTGGATTTACAGCTAGGAGGATTGGAAAATTGTATGTTCTTGATGCCACCCCACCTAAAACCATCTCTCCCACATCTAGATCTGTCAACACCCCCTCTTCTCCCCAATTCGATCTTGTTACTATTTGGCATCTTAGGCTTGGACACTTAAGTCCCTACATACACAAATGTATTTCCTCTCAATTTCCTTTTGTCACCTACAATGACAATCATAAGCCCTGTAACACTTGCCATTTGGCTAAGCAAAAACATTTGCCCTTTACTCACAGTAATACTAAGTCCGTTGCCATCTTCGATTTACTTCATGTTGATATTTGGGGCCCTCTTTCCACACCTTCGATATGTGGCCATAAGTATTTTTTAACCCTTGTAGACGATTACAGCAAGTTTACTTGGACAATTTTTATGGCCAACAAAAGTGAAACCAGAAACCATTTAATTCACTTCATATCCTTTATCGAAACCCAATTTAACAAGAAACTCAAGTGCATTCGAAGTGATAATGGCCCTGAGTTTCTTATGACCACTTTCTACCTTTCTAAAGGAATCATTCATCAAAGGTCTTGTGTGGAAACGCCTCAACAGAATGGTATCGTGGAAAGAAAACATCAACACATTTTGAATGTTGCCCGTGCCCTCTCTTTCAAATCTCACCTCCCTCATAACCTTTAGCACCTTTCCATACAACATGCCATTCATATTATAAACCGTCTTCCCACTCCTCTTTTAAACAACCACTCTCCATACCAAAAACTCCATTCTATTCCTCCCAGCCTTAGCCATATGAGAGTCTTTGGTTGTCTTGCCTATTCTTCGACCTTGCTTAACCATCGCACTAAATTCGAACCAAGAGCAAGAAAATCTATTTTCCTTGGCTACAGGGAAGGCACAAAAGGCTACCTTCTCTATGATCCTATCACACATGAATTTTACATTTCAAGGAATGTATTCTTTTATGAAACTGTGTTCCCTTTTGTATCCATCCCACCTGTACCTAATCCTATAATTCCTACTCCTGACCCTCCTTCGATTGATTCACCTGATATTTTCACCAACATTCCACCCAACTTACCACCACCATCACCTGAACCCTCCTCTCCTACCTCTCTCCCCCAGCCAGAATCTCCCACTAACCTCTCCTTTTCCTCGAATGACACTAACAACTCCCCTTGCCCCTCCCCTCCCGTGCCAACCAGAAAATCCAATCGAAATAGTAAACCTCCAGCTTATCTTTCAGATTATCATTGCAATTTGCTATCCCCCATGCTGCCAGCATCTGACTCAGGTTCCTCTAACTACCCTCTCTCTTCTGTATTATCTTATAGCCAATGTAGTCCTGATCACAAATTATTTTGTCTATCCATAAGTTCTTTCACAGAACCAAAAACCTATAAACAAGCATGCAAATTTGATTGTTGGAACAATGCTATGAAATCTGAGTTAGATGCTCTTGAATCTACAAATACTTGGTCTGTTGTTGATTTGCCTGCAGGCAAACAATCCATTGGTTGCAAATGGGTCTACAAAATCAAGCATCATGCTGATGGATCCATCGAACGATACAAGGCACGTTTAGTAGCGAAAGGATATACTCAGCTGGAGGGGGTGGATTATTTCGACACTTTCTCACCTGTTGCGAAGCTTACTTCTATTCGAACCCTTCTCTCAGTGGCTGCCATTAAGAATTGGCACTTGGAACAACTTGACGTCAACAATGCCTTCCTTCATGGTGATCTACATGAGGAAGTGTATATGGATCTGCCTCCTGGATTCATGCTTCCTGCTTCTTCGACCAACGAAGTCTACAATTCTTCGACCAACAAAGTTTGCACTTCGAGCAACGAATTCTGCACTTCTTCGACCAACAAAGTTTGCATTCCTTCGACCAACAAAGTTTGCACTCCTTCGACCAACGAAGTTTGCACCTCTTCGACCAACGAAGTTAGCACTTCTTCGACCAACGAAGTTGGCACTTCTTCGACCAACAAAGTTTGCAAACTACATAAGTCACTATATGGCCTGAAGCAGGCTAGCAGACAGTGGTTTTCGAAATTATCCACTGCCCTTATCTCTCTTGGCTACTCATATTCTTCTGCTAATCATTCCTTTTTCAAAAAATCACATGACTCTTCTTTTACTGTTTTATTAGTCTATGTTGATGATATTGTCTTAGACGGTAATGATTTACAGGAAATCAAATATGTCAAATGCTT